TAATACACGACCCTACTTCAACAACAGTTGTATTGTTTTTTTTGCAATTTTACCCCGTTTTTGGGTTTAATTTGGGTGCACGTTTCACCCTTTTTTTGACATTGCACCATCCAGATGTTTGTAGTCAGATCGTACGGTCGAGAGATGAGCTGTAGCGATGCCACGTAATCTGGTCGAGTCGACGTTGTACGTTCTAGTCGTGGCGCGCGACAGGCGGGGTGCTTTGCGAAAGACGCCCCTGCCCAGGTCGAGCTCTTGCGCTCGTGGAGTCGGCTCATTTGACACTTTCGTCGCAACGTGACAGTGGCATGGGTCTCCACATCTCGGTCGTGCTCGCTCTCGCCGCCGTCGTGCAAGGCGCGCCGCTCCCGACCAAGAACGCGACGCTGCCCAGCGACAACACGACGGAAACGGCGACGGTCGAGAACGAGTTTCCGGCGCGGCAGTGGGGCCTACAGCGCGGCTGGCGTTACTGGTACAAGGACAATGACGAGTGGGTGGGCATTTGGACGTGGGTAGACTTCTGGACCACCATGATTGGTTCGGAGGTCACGACCACGTGCCGCAAATGCGACGGTTCGAAAGCGTGGCAAGTCTACCAGTCGCCCGGGTCCGACAAGATCGATATGCTGCGAAACGTCGAGACGGACATGTGCCTCGACGCCTACTGGAGCAACGAGGCTGGGAAGCCGATGGTGCACGGGTATCCCTGCAATGTCCAGAACAGCAACCAGCACTGGGACTTTAAGCTCCACAGCCACGAAAGCCGGATCCGACACCGCAAGTTCCACGACTGGATTTTGTTCGGCTCGTACACATTTGAAATGATCCGCATCGACGACGACCGCGCTAATTGGCACGATCTATCGTGGTTCAACTTTGTCCCGTAGATCGCAGACAATATCAACTTGCGATTTTGCATGAGGTTTTAGTGTCCTGTCCTGAAGATGTGCATACTCTTTTCCGTGGAGGGATCAAGCGAGAGGGAGAACTGGAATGACGAAGGTCGACTGGTTTAACGCTAATTTTAACGCTGGTTTGGCGTCGGGGTCAAACACACAGGCCGAAGTACGGACGTGCAAAACGTGGGCGTCGTGTTTTTAGAAGGTCAAAGCTCTTGTGTTGACACCGCCTGTGGTGTTTTACACATTTCACACGCATGTGTGAATCGAAAAACGTGAATTAAACCGTTCCGATTTAACCTTGGTCGGGCCATTTGGACGTTGCGGATATGGAGGCCAAGGTGGCCACGACGGCCGAGCTCCGCAGCGCAGCGCGCGGGACCAAGCGGGCGAGGGCCGACGCGCACGAGATCGCGCCATCGAATGTGGGCTACCGCCTCCTCGAGACGATGGGCTGGAAGGCTGGCGAGGGCCTCGGCAACGAGAAGCAAGGCCGGACCGCCCCCGTCGCCACGTGCTTGAAGCGCGACCGCGCTGGCTTGGGCGCAGCGCCGCTCACGTACCGCGTGACCCACATCGAGAAGCCGCCGCAGCCGATCGTGCAGGCGCCAAAGCGGACGCCAGCCGAGAAGCGACAGCGCAAGGCGGCCAAGGCCCAGGCAGCGCAGAAGGAGCGCATGTACGCGCAGGAGCTCTACTCGGACGACATTCCCGAAGAGTACATGGCGCTCTTCCGATAAACGTCGGCGACAGGAGACTGCGTACGTTGCCCAAGACTCGACTTTCAACACGATGACTCCATATAGTGGTAGATGCCAACGCCCATGCGCTTGCATCGAACGACTTGCTGACGGGACCTGCGCAGCGATCGCCAGCGCTGCAAGACACCGTGGCGCATTGTTGCTGTTAGTATGCTGTGGCTGCACGTGAGGATCACGCCTTGTCGTCGCCGACGCGGTGTCCGCAGACAGTACTCGCTGTACCAACGACGACGTATGCAGTGCGTGCTGGTTTCTCAACCCTACTCTGCTCGCCAAGGGCCTTATTCCGCGTCGGGCTGTCCGATCCTTTATGGCTAGCGCCAACGCGCCGCATCGCCCATGAAGTGAGTTCTTTCGTCATGGCGATGCTACGGACTTACATCATGAAGCTGCCGTTCATTCGGATCCTGAGATGCCATTCGAGGTGCAACGATAGCATGCACAGGCTATACGCAAGCGGCATGGCGGTGACACTGCGGGATGTCTACGTCGCCTGATCCACGCAGCGTCTCGCCATGACGGGGCGCGCTGTGGCTTGACCACCTAGCGACAACCGCAAAAGCAAGCGACAAGGCGTTGAGGCCAACATCTCGACGACAGGCTAGCAACGTCAGAGAGAGCATTTGCTACTAATACGGCCCACACGGGATGGATCTCTCCGTGCGCAGCTCACTCGCAACGACCAAATACTGCCAAGGCCCACGCATTCAGGCGCAGCACGACGTATGCGCAGTCTTTGAGTTCGTTTTTGCCTATATTTGATTTCAACATGAACACGTTCGATTGATTGCTTGATTGATTGTGCGGCCCACACGTCGGCCGACTCGCGCCAACGACAAGGTCGAGCCCTCAAATCCGACGACGTATCTCGTTGTCGATGCAGCGGGTGTCTTTCTACATTGCAAAGGACCTTTGCGACGTATCGGTTCATAATCGCTCCACTAAGCATCGTCAACTCAGATACCTTGCACAATAGAAAGGTGGACACTTGTCAAAATGAGAAAAAAAACATGGGAGTCAACAAGTCTTAACTAACTAGACTAGACGACTAGACGTCGTTGATGAGCGGGACGGCCGCGGCGAACGCGGGGCTTATCGGGTGCATGGACGTGGCGGGGAGCACAAAGACGCGCCAACTCTTGACGTCGAGGACAACGAGGCGCTTCGCACTGAGTCGCCACGTCAAGAGGCCGTCCAAGACAGCGGAGGCGCGGTCCACGTAGTAGACATCGTCGTCCATCCACGGTCCCGGCACAAAGAGAAACTTGGCGCCCGACGACAAGAAGAGCGACGTGACGGGATTCGAAGGCGCGACGCGGACACAAAGCCAAGCGGTTGCAAACGAGAGCACCTGCGAGAGAAGCACGGCCGACGCCAAGACGAGCATGCGGTCGGCGCTACCGATGGCAATGTCGCCGGCGGTACACACCGCGCGCGCGTCGACTTGCTCTAGTCGACAGCGCAAGTCGATGGTCGTGGCCGGCGTCACGGGCGCCGCGATTGTGACGGCGGAGGCGAAGACCCAGACGACGAAGCCGTTGGGAGTGACGTAGTAGGACGCATAGTCGCCCGTAAAGACGAGAAAGATGTCGTTGACGATCGTGATGAGCCATGTGACTTCATTGGCCGCCAGTAGCGTCTTGTACCACGGATCGCGGACGGTGGCAAAGTAACTCAAATAGCCCGAGTTCTGTAGCTGCAAGGTCGCGGTCGACAAGACGACGATGGCCGTCATGCTCCGGAGCAGCAAGAAGGGCCGCCCGACCCAGACAATGCCGCCGACACGGCCGAGCTCGAGCATGTTGAGGCCTTCGAAATGACCGCGACCAGCTATGATGTAGACGAAGGCGAGGCCTGCAACTGCAATCATGACGCCCGTAACGTAGAGAACACCCGCTCGTAAATACTGCGCAATGTTGGCGGGGACCTCCCATGCTTGCGTGGCTTGAGAGAGCGGCGTCGCGAGATCGCCCATGAGCGACAAGCTGCCGTCGTCGCCTTGGAACGAAATGACTTCGCGGATGCCAAAGACCCAGTCGTAAAAGAAGAGCCACGCAAAGAAGCGAAAGCTTCGCTCGCGGTCGTCGAGAAGGTTGAGCACACGCAGCGTCAGCGGCAGCGACGTGTTGGAACTTGTCCGTGCGTAGATCATGGCCGACACATTCATCGCTGCGATCCGCTGCTGCAGAATCGCCACATCCACGGCGATGGACAAAGGTAGCGGCATGTAATCCTGAATGTAGGCGAGGGTGCGGGGCAGGTAGACCGCGCACTGCGCCGTGAACGTCGGGTCTAAGGCACAGATCGCCGTCATGTTGTCGGTGGTCTGAAGCCCAGCGAGGACCGCTGCGAGGATATACTGCTGTCGCGTTGGCTGGACCTTGACGGTACCGGTCGACGTCAAGCAAATCCCGTCATACGATACTAACGTCCCGAGACCCGCCGTGGTAAGAGCACTGCCTGATAAGGCTTCGGGGCAGAGCGGGGATCCCCCAAAGGTAACCAAACGCGCCGTGAGCCACATTGAGGGGACCGGTCGAGAGAGGTCAAGCGGTGTGATGTTAAAGTACGCGGCTTGCGCAGCGAGGTTGCCAGCGAGGGGTGCCCGCGTCGCATCGAGCAGATATGACACGAGCTGCTGCAGGGCGACGGGTGGTGGGACATAGACCATATCGATCGAGCCGTACGGACCCAAGAGGGACGTTGTTAGCTGGAAGCCGCGGGATAGCGGGGACGGCAGCGTCCCATTGATCACGTAAACATCCGCGAGCGAGGTGTTGGTAAAGGCGTAGGTGGCACTGGACCGTAAAAGACTCAGACCGCCGATGCCAGATGTGTTGGATGCGACCGCCGAGAGGTCGTTGGCCAGCGACCAGTACATTTTGAACGTCGTCTGGCTGCCAAGGCGGTAGGTGCCGTCTTGAGAGGATAACGTCAGTGCATGGGGCGTGCCAAACGCGTTGATGATCGAGTAGCTGTTGCGAACGCCGAGCTTCTTGTAGTTTTGCCACTGTGTTTGATACGTTGTGAGGCCAAACGACCGCCAGTAAACAGCTTCGTCACTCGCACTCAGCTGAGGCGCTGTGCTCGAGACCATGTCCAGCCAGTTGCGACCTTCCGACGACAACTTGAGCTCGGCACCGATACCAATTTCAAAGCCCGTGCCCCAGCAGTTATGAAAGCTGCCGAAATCCACGTTGCGCAGAACGGTCTCCAAGTACACGGCGCCGTTGGTCGTCATGCTCGCGTCGCACCTCGCTTGGCGCTTGGCCGAGTTGGCCATCGTCCACGACCTCTTCAGGTCGAGATAGCAGTACGGAGAAAAGATCCAGGGTGCGTCACAGCCATTCGAGCGTCTCAGCCCTTCAATCGTCGCCTCGATCGAGCTCAGTAGTGTGTGCTGGAGGTAGGCGCCATAGTTTTGAGGCGACGCCACAAGAGCTGTCGATGCCGCAAAGGATGCCATGGCGTTGATACTCGGTCGGTCGGGGGGTAGGTCGACCATGGTGGTGTTGCCAATGACAAGTTGCTCGTTGAGCCAGTTGGCAAAGAACGCATGAGCACCGGTGGTGTTGAACGTGGCCCAATAGACATCGTTGGCCAAGTTGACTTGAGAGACACTCAAGTACGAGACGGAGCTACCGATGGACGACACGATGTAGACAATCCCCAGCATTTGGAAGACGAGGGTCAATACTCTGTGACGCCGGCGCTGGTTGACGCTAGGATCGCTCTTCTTCCGAGCCCCCGCCTTGGCCTGTACGTGAAGCGAATGCTCGGACAAGACGGGGCGCGGCAGCACTTTGAGAAAATCAGATGTCGATCGGTCGTCCTTGAGCAAGAGCCACAGTTTGATGTCAAAAGTGTACGCAACGCCTCGAAAGTGCAGGGCGAGCAAGCCCGCAAGGACGCACGCCACGTCATCGATGACATAGTGAGTTGGAGTCGTTCCGGGGGCGGTTGCAATGAAGGCGTCGGCTATGCCACTCACGAGCAGCGACGCCTCCGACTCTTTCGTGCTCAGGTACCGCCACCGGCGCCACGACGTCACACACGCCCAGACGACGACAAGGATGCTGGCTTGGATGACGGCGATCACCACGAGTCGCTCGAAGCTCCCCACCGAGACGACACCGCTGGTACACGTGGCGGCAAAGTCCATATCAACGCTGACACAGGCGCGCTTGATATTGACGGCGATTTCGACGGGACTTGCAACTTCCAGGATAAGAAGGACGAGCCACGAGAGAAGACTGGCCGTCGAGCTGTACGCTTGCGTGCGGTGGCGCGTCAGCAGCACCCACATCTCGTTAGCGACATACGTGAGCCAGGTTGCCTCGCCCGTCACGATCACAGCTTCAATCCAGCTTCGAGGCGTGGCGATAAACCGCGATGCACCAGAAGACGACGTCAGAAGCGACGCGTTGGCCGAGCTCAGCAGTAGCACTGCCGATATACCTCGTAAAAACGCTAGTGGTCGACCGATCCAAACGGCCCCCACGATCCGGTTGAAGAAGAAGAGGTTCAAACCGTTGAACCGGAGCCGCGTCTTGACCGCATAGATTAAAACAATCCCACCGACGCTGACGAGAATCACCGAGGTGGTAACCACAAGGTAGTAGAGAATCTGCGTGGCCGACTGCAGCGGCTGCGTCCCCGTCGTGTAGAGCTGTGGGGTATAGACGTTGGAGATGAGCGTGAGATTGCCGTTGTCGCCTTGGAATGAGACGACTTCGCGATTGCCGAGGACCCAATCAAAGAGAAAGACCCAGCCAAAGAACGCAAACGAGGGCTCGAGCAGAGCTTGTTTGAGGACGACCCACGAGCCATTGGCGGCAGTAGCGTACTGCATCAATCCAATCTCGAGACCAACCTCACTCGCAATCGATGCATTCCAGACCAGCGGTGAGGCGAGGGACTGCAAGAGCTGGTCGACAGCCGCAATAGACGCCGTACAAGCTGCTGTAGATGACGCGGCTGCACAAACGTCTCCGGTCGGTACGGCGGTGCGCGCCAACAGCAGTGCCAATGGACTCAGCAGCAGACGAAGTGGCTTGGGCTTGGAGCAGTCGTGGAAGAAATCAAACGACTGCTGAATGTACGCTGTGCGTGGCAGGTTCATGCAGAGCGGGTCGCCGCCATAGAACGAGAAGTTGCTGCGCCATCCCAGTGGCATGAGGTCGACACTCAAAGCGGCCAAAGACCCGCGGAGACCGTCGCTGCCAAACTGCTGCAATAGGCTCGTCTGAGCTGCTTCGTACGTCTGAACAAGATCAGCAGGCACGGCGAGGAGAAGGCTGTCGACGTTCTGGAAGGGCCCGACGACGCGGCGAAACGCTGCGGGCTGCTTGGCAAACTGCCCAGAGACAGCGGTATTCCCGAGGGCGACTTCAAGGTCGACGATGGGTAGCGCGGATGAGATATTGGTCCCAAAGTGCCGCGACGAGCCGCGAACGAAGCTGCGGTTCGCCGACTGGGCGATGCGAATGTCATTGAGCGGCAGTGAGAAGAGCTGTGCAGACGTCCAGGGCCCCGTGCCTTGGGCAAAGTTCTTGATGGTCACGAGCTCCCGCAGTCCGATTGCATTCTCCAAGACGATGCTTTCCGTGATGCCGGGTTGCCACCGGTTCTGCCACTGCAGCTGGAACCGATCCAAGTCGTACTGGCGCCAGTAATTGAGCTCATCACTGATGGTTGTCGTATTGCGGGCTTGCGAGACTTGACTCAAAAAGGCTTGACCTGTTGCGGATTCTTGCAGTGCCCGTGTAAGAAGTCTGAGCCACGCAGTGTGCTGTACCGTGGCACGGTCGGAGATGTGTGTAGTAGAATGCAAATATGAAAGTGATATTGTTCGTTATGTAAGCTAGACCAGTGGTAATCTGTGCATAGTGTGTAGTTCTGTTGGTCTAGATCGTTAGCCGCTGTGGGATTTCCAACAGCCCGCTCGTACGCAATCGCAAAGCGACTGTTGACGCCGCCCCACGTCGCCATGTAGTCGGCCCAGACCACGTTGCGCAAGATAGCCTCGAGGTACACGGCGCCATTGGTCGCAAACTGGTCCTTGCAGCGCTGCTGACGAGTAATTGTGTGCGCAATCTCGAACGTTTTGTTAAAGTCGACCCAGCAGTGTTGTACGTTCATGCGCATCGACCACGCGGCGCTGAGTGTGCGTAGCTGCGGCACGGCGTACTCGATGGACGTGAGCTCGGTCATGAGAATCCGGCGAGAGTAGGTTGGCGATATACTGGTGGTGGCGATGGACGCGTTGTAGAGCTTGTTCATCGTTGCGTGGGCGGCATAGATACTGAGGGACGATGTCGTGGTCAGCGCCAGTTGGGCGTTGATGAGGTCGATGAGCAAGGCTTCCCCGCCCGTGGGGGTAAAGCCGGCCCACCATAGATCATTGGCCAGACTTGGCGAGAGGAGCGAGAGGTACCAGAGACCGATGCCGAGCGAGGCGATGAGGTACAGAAAGACCTGCAATAACGAGGGTTGACTGGTGCTTGGAGGCAATCTGGACGTTGATAGATGGCGCGAGTTCCAGCGCTTTTGTGGTAGATGGTAGCATTGAGTACGAGGGTAGCTCACTGAAAATGAAAAGTGCGACTCAAATGGCTGGCGTTCAGTGTCCAGTGCTGTGCTGGGACGATATGCAAATACATTGTATCGTTCGCTGCAACGGCTGCCTATCTTGGCAACCGAAACGCCAAAATATATTTATCTATCAGATAAAATGCGATTGTGGGTCGAATTATCGTCTTGGTCGCAACCATATGTCACTCGATTTGAAGATCTTTCGAGTCCAGGTTGCACGCAAGCAGGCGCACTATCCAACATCAAATACTAGGCGTGTGCTCAAGGCGTGAGCGCGTCACGCGACCGATTATAGCACTTGACCATGTAATAAAATCGTGGGTTGCCACGCGGCAAGGGCGGTTGCGTCGCTGCTAAAACGAGCGATGCGCAACCGCCCGAGTGCGTTAAAATAGCCCACTGCTCGCCTCTATATATCACACAGTGCAACGGTAGAATCTCTGGTGTAACGCACGAACAGTGTGTACCTTGTTGAAATAGTGCAAGCAGTTGTGCAAGCATCGCTGTGGAGTAGGAAATGGAGCATCCACAAGCTTTCAAAAGGGCGAGAAAGTACGAGCGTGTGTAGAAACAACGCTGCTGGCGGCATTCAGAGACGCCGCATTCGTTTCAACAACGGCCCATACAAATGACGACTAAGGTCAATAAAACATTGGGCTCCGGTGTCGTCAACGATGGTCTCCAAGAATGGATATATCGATGAAATATATTCTCAGAGGAGGTGGTTTCTGGTGGCGGCGCTTTGCTTGCGCTGGGTCATTGGGGACCCGCTTTTCACCTACCCCGGATGCTTTTACGCTGATGCGCTCGTGGAGTGTTCTCGCCTGGGCTGAGCCTTGCACAGTGCTACGGCTATTTCGATGGCAAAGGACGAGTTTTGTCGCGTACAATGAATTAATGGCGCTTTCACAAGGCCTCTTCGCTCAGAGGAGGAAAAAGGGCGATAGGACTGCATTACCGCTGCACCTCGCGGCGGGTTGCTTAGCGGAGATCAAAAACTAGAATTGCTAGGCTCTGTCGACCAGTCGTTGGTTTCGCTGAGCCGCCTTGGCTTGAAAAGTCCGCTTCGACTCGTTGCAGGCGCGTAACACCCATTTGCGGCACCAAGCCGCGATTTTGAAAACCTGTGTTTGCGCCTTCAAGGCATCGCCAGGGTCGATTTCGAACAAGGTACATCAAACAAACAACAATGCAGGACGAGGGACGAGCCTCGGATGTTTACGTTCCCGCTTTTCGCCGTGCGGTTGGAGTGGTTGCGTCGACTCTTTTGAGAAAACACGCCATGTTATGTTAAAAAGAAAGCATTGCCAACCGTCAATCTCTCAAACCTCACATATATAAACAATCCACTGACTAGTTGTCGTTGAGAAGGGGAACCGCCGCGAGAAAGTCGGTTTTCGTTGTTTGCGGCATCAGCTCCAGCGGTATCGTAAACACCCGCCACGTCTTGATATCGAGGACGATCAGGCGCGTCTCGCTATAGCGCAGCGTCAGGAGTCCGTCGAGGACAGCGGACGCGCGGTCCACGTAGTAAATATTGTCGTGCATCCAGGCGTTCGGCACAAACAAATATTTTGCACCCGACGATAAAAAAAGCGACGTCGGCGCGCTTGCCGGCACCTCGCGCAGACAGCGCCGCGCAATCGCAAACGAAGCGATTTGAGAGACGAGAACCGCCCCCGCCAGGAGGAGCATGCGCTGGGGACTACCGATTTGAATGGTGCCCGCAGTGCACGCGGCATCGGCGTCCACTTGACTCAGTTGGCAGTGCAGCTGGATGGACGAGACGGGTGCCACGGGTGCTGCCAGCGTCAACGCGCCCGAAAAGACCCAAACGACAAAGCCGTTGGGCGTGATGTAGTATGCTGTGTATGCGCCCGTCACAATGAGAAAGATATCGTTGACGATCGTAATCAGCCACGTGACTTCGTTGGCGGCAAGCAGCGTCTTGTACCACGGATCCCGGACCGTGGCCAAGTAACTCATAGAACCCGAGTGCTGCAACTGCAAGGTCGCTGTCGACAAGACGACAAGGGCCGTGACACTCCGGAGAAGTAGAAATGGCCGCCCGACCCAGACAATCCCGCCGACGCGGCCGAGCTCGAGCATGTTGAGGCCCTCAAACTGGCCTCGAATGACAAGAATGTACACAAAGGCGAGCGACGCAATCGCCATCATGACGCCGGTAACGTAGAGGACACCCGAGTGGAGGTAGCGAGCAAAGTTATCGGGGACTTCCCACGCCTGCGTCGGCTGCGACAGAGGCATTTGGAGGTCGGTCACCAAGGCAAGGCGTCGCATGTCGCCTTGGAACGCGATCACTTCGCGATATCCAAACACCCAGTCGTAGAGGAAGAGCCAGCCGAAAAAACCAAAGTCTCGATCGGTCTCGTCGAGAAGATTGATCATGCGCAGCTCGAGGGGTGCGGTCAAGGTTGTGCGGGCATAAATCATAAGCGAAATGTTCATGGCGCGAATGCGCGTCGCCATGTCTGCGATGTTGGAGATCACGTGCGGTGGAACCTCCATGTAGTCGCGAATGTACGTTCTTGTTGTTGGCAGGTACACGCGACATTGCGTGGTGAACGCTGGGTCGAGCGCGCACACGGCCGAGAGGTTGCTGGTCGCGGATGTGAGATTGGCAAACAGACTCCCGAGAACGTATTGCTGGCGCGTTGGCTGGAGCTTGGCAGAGACGCCCGTCGCCACCAAACAGATGGCGTCGAACGACAGGAGACTCGTGAGACCCAAATTAGTTTTTTGGCCAGAATTGAACTCGGTGCAGAGAGGCGACCCGCCGTAGGTGAAGACACCTGTGGACAGCCACGCCTTTGGCGCAGGACGGGAGAGGTCCAATGGCGTGATTGCGCGGTAGGCACTTTGAGCGCTGAGATTCCCAGCGAGCGGCGCACGGGTGAGCTCCAGCAGCGACGACATGAGCTGCTGCAACTCCAGCGGTGGCGGTACATAGATCATATCGATCGAGCCAAACGGTCCAAGATACGAAGAAATTAGTTGAAGCCCTCGCGATAGCGGGGACGGCAGCGTCCCATTGATCACGTAAACATTCGCGAGCGAGGTGTTGGTAAAGGCGTAGGTGGCACTGGACCGTAGCAGACTGAGACCGCCGATGCCCGAAGCGTTCATGGTCACGGCTGAGAGATCGTTGGCCAGCGACCAATACATTTTGAATGTTGTTTGACTGTCGAGACGGTAAGTACTCGCCAGTGACGCCAGCGTCAGCGGGTACTCAATGCCAAACGCGTTGATGATCGAGTAGCTGTTGCGAACGCCGAGCTGTTTATAGTTTTGCCACTGCGCCTCGAATGATGAAAGACCAAACGACCGCCAGTAAACAGCTTCGTCACTCGCACTCAGCTGAGGCGCTGTACCAGAAACCATGCCCAGCCAAGCGCGACCTTCCGACGACAACTTGAGCTCGGCACCGATACCAATCTCAAAGCCCGTGCCCCAGCAGTTCTGAAAGCTGCCGAAATCCACGTTGCGCAGAACGGTCTCCAAGTACACGGCGCCGTTGGTCGACATACTTGCGTCGCACCTCGCTTGGCGCTTGGCCGAGTTGGCCATCGTCCACGACCTCTTCAGGTCGAGATAGCAGTACGGAGAAAAGATCCAGGGTGCGTCACAGCCATTCGAGCGTCTCAGCCCTTCAATCGTCGCCTCGATCGAGCTCAGTAGTGTGTGCTGGAGGTAGGCGCCATAGTTTTGAGGCGACGCCACAAGAGCTGTCGATGACGCAAAGGATGCCATGGCGTTGATACTCGGTCGGTCGAGCGAGAGATCAAGCATGGTGGTATTGCCAATGATGAGTTGTTCGTTGAGCCAGTTGGCGAGGAAGGCGTGGGCACCCGTGGTGTTGAAGGTGGCCCAATAGACGTCGTTGGCCAAGTTGACTTTCGAGACGCTCAAGTACGAGATGGAGCTACTGATGGACGACACAATGTATACGATCCCCATAAGCTTGGTCGCTAGACCCATGACGAGGCGCCGCCGCCGTTGATTGATGTTGGGCGTTCTCTTCTGCTGCAGGCGCGGCAGCGGGTTGATTTTGACGGAGCGGTCGACCAAGACGGGGCGCGGGAGCACTTTGAGAAAATCAATCGTCGACCGGTCGTCTTGCAACAAGAGCCACAGTTTGATGTCAAAGATGTACTTGACGTCGCGGAAGCGCAGTGCGAGCAAACCTGCAAGCACACACGCGACGTCATCGATGACGTACTGTGTGGGGGTCGTGCCAGGGGCAGTAGTCATAAACTCTTCGGCAATACCACTCACGAGTAGGGAGGCCTCTGACGCAGTTGTGCTAAGGTAGCGCCATCGGCTCGAGAGGCGAAGTGTCGTCCACACGAGGACGAGAACGCTTGCTTGGATACTGACCACCACAACCAGTCGGCTGGAACTACCGACGACCAGTGCCCCGCTCGAGCACGTGACTGCATAGTCCATGTCGACGCCGACGCAGACACGTTTTAAGCTGCCAGAGACTGTCACCGGACTCGCCATTTCGAGAAGAAAGAGGATTAGCCACGAGAGCAAACTCGCGGTAGAGCTGTACATTTTCGTGCCATCCCGCGTCAGTAGCACCAAAATATCATTGGCGACATAGGTCAGCCACGTCGCCTCGCCGGTGACCACGATGGCTTCAAACCAGCTCCACGGCGTGGCACTAAACCGTGATGTCGCCGGAAACAACGTTGAGAGCGAGGGTTTCGCCGAGCTCAGCAACAGCACTGCCGATATACCTCGTAAAAAAGCTAGTGGTCGACCGAGCCAAACGGCCCCCACGATCCGGTTGAAGAAGAAGAGGTTCACGCCGTTGAACTGGAAGTGCGTCTTGACTGCATATACCAAGACAATCCCACCGACACTGACGAGAATCACCGAGGTGGCGACCACAAGGTAGTAGAGAATCTGCGTGGCAGACTGCAGCGGCTGCGTCCCCGTCGTGTAGAGCTGTGGAGTATATACGTTGGAGATGAGCGTCAGATTGCCGTTGTCGCCTTGAAATGAGACGACTTCGCGATTGCCGAGGACCCAATCAAAGAGAAAAATCCAGCCAAAGAATGCAAACGAGGGCTCGAGAAGTGCTTGTTTGAGAACGACCCACGAGCCATTGGCAGCAGTAGCGTACTGCATCAATCCAATCTCGAGACCAACTTCATCCGCCACCGATGCATTCCAGACCAGCGGCGAGGCGAGGGACTGCAAGAGCTGGTCGGCAGCTGTGATGGCAGAAACGCAAGCTGCTGTCGGTGAGGCCACGGCGCACATGTCCTCGACGATAGTTCGACTTGAAGTGGCGGCGCGCGCCAACGCCATCGCGACCGAGCTTGACGTCACGACCAGTGGTTTCGGCTTGGAGCAATCGTCGTAAAAGTCAAACGATTGCTGGACAAATGCCGAGCTAGGCAAGCCCGTGCACACGGGGTTACCACCAAAGTATGCATGGTTGCGCCACGTGAGCGGTCTCAGCGCCAGCGTTGCGGGATCTGATTTCGCAGCTCGCTGGGCGTGCAGTCGAGCGCGTGCCGCCGCAAAAGCGTCGCGAAGGGATACCGGGGGACCCCGATAGAGGCAGTCCACGCTCTGGAACGGTCCAATGACATGTCGAAAGAGCGCGGATTGGTTGAAGAATTGACCCGAGACAAGCGTGACACCACCAAATACTTCAGGGTCAACGACAGGCAGCATGGAGGAGACGTTGGTGTCAAAGAAGCGCGACGAGCCGCGAATGAGACTGCGGTTGTTGAAGGCTGCAAACCGAAGGTCGTTGAGCGGAATCCAAAAGAGAACAATTGATGTGTATGGACCCGTACCCTGAGGAAAGTTCTTGATCGTCACAAGCTCCTGCAGTCCGATTGCATTCTCCAAGACGATGCTTTCCGTAATGCCGGGCTGCCACCGACTCTGCCACTGCAGCTGGAACCGATCTAAGTTGTACTGACGCCAGTAATTGAGCTCATCACTGATCGTTGTCGTATTGCGGGCTTGCGAGACTTGACTCAAAAAGGCGTGTCCTGTTGCGGATTCTTGCAGTGCCCGCTCGTATGCAATGACAAAGCGACTGTTGACGCCGCCCCACGTCGCCATGTAGTCGGCCCAGACCACGTTGCGCAAGATAGCTTCGAGGTACACGGCGCCGTTGGTCGCAAACTGGTCCTTGCAGCGCTGCTGACGAGTGGTTGTGTGCGCAATCTCGAACGTTTTGTTAAAGTCGACCCAGCAGTGCTGTACGTTCATGCGCATCGACCACGCGGCGCTGAGTGTGCGTAGCTGCGGCACGGCGTACTCGATGGACGTGAGCTCGGTCAAGATGATGTGGCGAGAGTAGGTTGGCGATATACTGGTGGTGGCGGTGGACGCGTTGTAGAGCTTGTGCATCGTTGCATCATCTGCGTAGATACTGAGGGCCGACGTTGCGGTCAGCGCCAGTTGGGCGTTGACAAGATCGATGAGTAAGGCTTCGCCACCCGTGGGGGTAAAGCCGGCCCACCACAGGTCGTTGGCCAGGCTTGGCGAGAGAAGCGAGATGTACCAGAGACTGATGCCGAGCGAGGTGATCAGGTACAGAAGACCTGCGATGACGAGAGCGGGCTGGCGTCGCGAAGCGGGTGTCGTGATGAACATGGTTTCCAGTCTCGTTGCTAAAAACAAAGTGACGCTACAGATAACAATAACCACCACACAGTCTATTTATAACAACATAGCAGCTCGTGTCACCAAAATGTGGTGGCGCCGAATCAGAATTGACTGTAAAGCCAGTCCGTCGGCATGGACTGGACCGCTGTGCGCAGTGCCATCGCCGACGACTCGCTGTACGCGCCGCGAATCTCGAGCGCACGCAGCGCAGTACAGTGGGGTAGGGCAGCAGATAGAGCCATGGCGCCGATATCCTCGATCAGTGCCATCTTGAAGCGTAGTGTCGACAACGCTGGAAGAGACGGCAGCACCTCCACGAGTGGCGTCGCATCACTGATCCCGATACCTTTGAGCTGCAAGCACGAAAGGTGTGTCATGGTCGGTAGCACGGCTGCGAGCTGATTGATGAATGTTACCGGGCACAAGGCAGAGTTGGCCGCCAAACGAAGCGTTTTTAATCGGGTTGCCGACATGAGCGAGATACAGAGGTTGCGCGCGAGACTCTCAGACGACTCATCGCGCGGCGTGTCCGAATTGGTCCAGCGAAATACACGCAGAGTGGACGGTAGCGGCTGTCCATCCAGACCAAACGAGTTGATGTACGGAACGTTCTTGATCTCGAGTTCTTCAAGCGTTCTCGACTGCGATATCGCGCTTGCCAGCGCTGGACCGAGACCGTCACGTCCATCGTCGTGCATTGCAACCTTGCAATGCACGAGCCGAAGGGACTTGGCCGGGCAGCGAGCCAGCCAGGCAACGAGGCCTTCGACACTTGACGTCGCGAGTTGGGAGACTGCAAAAGCACAGCCATCAATGTCGACATTGGCAAGGCGTGGAAGGTAGACCATGCCCGCAAGGACAGCGTCAATGTTGGCGAGGTCCCCGTCAAAGTCGTCCCAGTCGGCATATGTGACGCGCAGCGCGTGCAGTCGGGGGCACGCGATGAGCGCGTCACGCAGCGTTGCGCCTGCGTTCGGCGGCGACTGGGCAGCATCGATAAAATCAATCGTAGGTTCGAGCTCCACTGACGTGACGAGATGCGCAATCGCGTCGACGTACCGCAGCCACTCGGCGAGATTGCTGATTGTTACCGAGACGCGCGGGACAAATGGCGCGGCGGCCGCGACGTACGCGACGATCGGCGCCGCGTCCGTGTTGTAGTATCTTAGATGGTAGCCGTTCAAGGACATGGTCAGTCCGGAAAAGGTGCAGCGCGAAAGGGCGCCGCGGATGTCCTGGCCCCACGTGCGGACGTGCTCCATGGCTGGTGTGCGCTCGGGCAGAAGGTCGAGGAGCGCCACAAGCGTCGCATACGACGGTATGTACGACGCAATGTGCTCGATCGTCTCTAGCGCAAGGAGCATCGGTCAAGTCTGGTCGAGATGGTGCCAAATGGACAACCAATCACTACAGGAGTGAATGATGGTGTTTAAGACCAGCACTCACATCCCGCCGGTCCACGGCGAAATGTAGACAAAGATGCGGCATCAACTATCGCACGACTGCATGTCCGGCACCTGGCTCGTCGCGCTGTGGTGCCATCTCTTGACGCGTCGCTCATCGCTCATTGAGACGACCCTTGGTGTGCACGTTATCTGGTCCGTCGCACAATCTTGGATCACGACCACTACCGCTCCTCGCTGACGCACCGGCCACGCCTCACGAGCGCATTAGGAAGTTCACCATATCTTTGTAATTGCATGTAATAATTCAGTTCAACAACAGCAAAGATGCGGCATCTGGAGGCGCAACAAAGTTGAATCTCAACGTCTCAATTTGAGGCGTTTTTGACGTGAGCCGCTCAAGCACCAAGGTTCGGTAACGCATTGACATTCATAATCATGGACAAATCTCTCTCAGAACCGAATGTCACTACTGCTCTTACAGAAAACCGTACTAGTACGGTCTATCAGACAAGGGCTCTACAGCAGGGAATATCCCTTGGAGACGGCAAGTATGGATATGCGCTCCTAGACCATACATATGAAGTGCACAATTGATGAGGAACGTACGCGAATGTGCTGCCTTCCCGTATCCCTGCCCAGTGTTTCTGTCTTTAAAGAGGCCGTCTACACATAGTACACTCTGCGACATATTCTCAACGGGTCTCTTCTTAATGCATGCCCCACGAACAAGGAGCAAGTCAGTATAGATGACAGCGAGGCGTCGCTATCTCGGACCAGTCTACGTCGGGGCGCTCTATCGAAGCGCTACGTACTCGACGCGAGGGCATTGGCTAGACGATCGCAGTCCGCGCAACAGTACAAGCGAGTGAGGTTGAGCGAGCAACCTATACCTTTTTGCGATACTTGACGATAAAAAATGCGTCATTGTCGTCTACATATATAAAGCAAAGTACGCGACATTTCAGGCGGTGTAATAATGTCTACAAGCGATACGTTGTGTAGCTGCCCGAGACGACGCCGGGTGTGTTGCTTTTGTTGGCGAGTTTGTTTTTGAGCCAGCACGTGCCACTGTTGATCGCGAACCCGACGCACCCGCTCGTCGATGCGCAGCCGTTACAGCACTGCGTGCGCTGCGACATCGCGTCGCCGAGGACTGGAAAGCTGCGAATGTCGTTGCCATAATAGTCGGTGTTGCTCGCAATACTGCCGCACTGGGCTGCGCTGCCCGCAGATGCCGAGATGCAGTTACGACAGGGCGCCGCATTGAGGAGCTGGCTCTTGAGCCAGCACGTGTCGCCGTTGATGGTGAAGCCCTTGCAGCCGCGCGTTTGCGTACAGGCGCTGCAGCACACAGACACCTTGTCTTGGTTGGTGCCCGAGACGTGGACGTTGGCGATGTCGTTGCCATAGTAATCGATTTCGTTTTGCACATTGGCGCACTGGCCGCCATTCAGAGGCGGGGCTTGCGTCGGGTATGCGCCGCTAAACGCTGCTGAGAGGCAGTGGAGGCAAGGCACAGCAACGTCGAGTTTGCTCTTGAGCCAGCAAGTCTCCCCGTTGACGGTGAAGCCCTTGCAGCCGCTGGTCGCTCTGCACGCGCTGCAACAAGCTGTCACTTTGTCGTGGCTGCTCCCCGAGACGCGCCGATTCCCAATGTCGTTGCCGTAGTAGTCGACCTCTTTTTGAACCGTCGCACACTGACCGCTGGGCAAGAGCGGTGCTTGGGTCGGCGTGGAGGTAACGAACGCCGCCGAAATGCAGTGGAGACAGGGCACTGCATTGACAAGCTGGCTCTTGAGCCAGCACGTGTCGCCGTTGATGGTAAAACCCTTGCAGCCGGTCTTTTGCGTACAGGCGCTGCAGCACGCAGACACCTTGTCTTGGTTGGTGCCCGAGACGTAGACGTTGGCGACGTCGTTGCCAAAGTAGTCGACACCGGTCGCCACGTCGGAGCACTGACCGCCGTTCAACGACGGTGCCGACGACGGTGTCGTCGTTGGTGCGGGTGCAACGGCGGGCGCCGACCCCTGATCATTGCCTTGCAGTGGCACGCAGTTTTCTACACACCGTACGTTTATCTACCGCGATTCATGAAACGGGGGGCGTACTGTAGACTTGCCACTGGGGCTGGTGCAGCGCGAGCCAATAGAAGCGCAACAAGCACCCGTTCGGACCACATTTTGTGTAATCCACGGGCAGACGCGCTTCGGGGGCGGCTGGGAAGTTGGTCGCGCAGTCGTTGTTTTGAAACACGCGCGTGCTGTCGAGCCAGATCTCGCACGGACCCGTGTGGCTCGGGATGAACCCCTCGCCCGTGTCGGGGTTCTTCCACGTCATCTTGCCATCAGACGGAATGGCCTTGGCAGCAACATTTGGCAGCGTGTTGCCGCAGTCTGGGCCGTGCAAATCGAGCAAATCCCGGAGTGTCTTGTACTGCGTCTGGGCCGCAAACGCCTTGTTGAAGTTGGCGACATTAGTCTGCGGCGAGTCGTCAAACTTGCCGGGTAAGAACGCTTGGATGATGGCCACGTAGGTTGTCCGCATGATATTGGGCGCAAACTCGGCCAGGGGACTGGAAATGACGCCGTGACCAGAGATGAAAGGCACGGCGAGCGCGAGCAGAGTCGCTGTCCGCTGCATTTGCGTAAAAGGAGCAAAAACAAAAATGATGTGCGGAGTGGGTTCGCATGTGCTTGCTCCTGGACAGCATCGCCGTCGTTTCGACGCGTCCGATCTCGGTAGATTCCCGCGTCGTCAACGCACATTAAAATGGCGTTGATTCTGAAAACGACACCTGCTTATCGAAGAGGAACATCGCGCGAACGGTCCAAAGGAACGCGCACGGCACAACGACGCTGCCGGTGGCGAGGTGCGTCTCTTCGCCTGCTAGTGTGCGCGAATGACAAGCGTCCAAGCGCGTTCTGCGCGGGTTCGAGTCGAACAACAGAACATCATGATGATCATTGCGCCAGAAGCGTTCCATGCGTCGTAGTCACTAGTCCATAGTACGTACAAAGGGGCGGGCGACAGTTCATTCATTTACACGCTGTGCCAGGCTCGACAACTGGGATCCAACACCCTTGCTGCGCGACTCTTGCATCAACTACATGTTGCCTTGGGTATCGTTGCGGCAACCAACAGGTCCTTGGCGCGCGAGGTGCCATCGATTGGTTAACGGTCTCTCAAAGCGCTACTGCAACAGCACAGCGACTAAAACGTTGCCTAGAATGCAGCGGTAGCACCCATCGAACGTGGTGGAGCCACATGTGGTAGTTTCATTGCGTAGCGGGAGGACCAGATTTTCTACCAATCGGGGCCGGGAGCGAGCGACACGCAGAGCCCAACGTCCCCAATTTAGTATTCCGCAACTCGGCAACAAGTGTTTTCTAACCCACCCGCCTTCCCAGACGGGCGGCGGGGAATGTCAACATCACATTTCCCCCGCACGCCACTCGCGACGACGGTGTGGTACGAGTCGTACAGCAGCCAGGAAGAGACAGTAGGCTAGATACTCACTTGTCCCTTGCCCGCAATGCCACTTCAAATTGGCTACCGGTCAATCGAATCATCGTCTAGTACCCCACTCGAGCGTCGTACAAGGTGAAACTACACTGTACCGAACAGTTGATAGGTAGTTGGATCCAAAGCTACAAAGCTACTATACGGTTATGACAACATGTATGGATAACGTCGTCTTTACTAAACACGACCAACGCTACAGAACGTGTACTCGTCATCGCCGCTGTCGTCGATTATCATGGGCAGCTGGTGCGCATACGACAAGATCTCATTGCGATCCTCCGCGACGAGGGTCACTCGTAGCGTGCAAGTAGCCAGCGGCACCAGAGCGTCCAAGAGACGGCACGCTCCTCGTAGATGCAGTTGATTGTTTTGCACGAGGTCCAGCGCCAACGGCCAGGTACGAGAGCCGAGTGCGCTGGCAACGTCAGCCACCGCATCCTCGTCGAGGTTGCAGCATGCCAATCGCACGTACGTAATGTTGGCACGACTGAACCAATGGCGCAGTGCACGCTGCATCGACGCGCGCGGGCCTTCACCCAAATAGACGTTGCGGAACGAGATATGCTCCAGGCGCACAAGGCCACACGTCCAGTCCAGAAGCAAATTGACCTCCTCCGCCGACATCAAAAACGTGTCGAAGGATACATGGCGGAGGCAATCGTGTGCGATGGGAGCGGGCAAGTGATCCAGCATTCCAGGACCCAAGCAGAGCGTCTCGAGGGCTGGCAGCGTTGGAAGCCACTCGACGACGAAGCTGAGATCATCCATGGCAGTGACGTCGAGGCGCGTCAAGCGGCGTCGATCGACAAGCGACAGCAACTTTGCGACCGACGACTGGTACACACCATCCAAGCGCAGCTCGGTCACGTGCGATAACGTCTTCTTGGTGGCTACGAGCGCGTCGACGAGCGCGTCGATATCAGATCCATCGAGCTCCATGCTGTGGAGCTCGAGGCTTTGCAGCGACGGCGCGGTTGTTAGTGCGTCGGCTACGCGAGCATCATCAAAATGCCCAACGCAGGCCAGACACAGATGGGTAAGCGTTGCAATCTGGGGCCACGCGAGCAGTGAAGTCATGTCGATTGCATCCGTGTCGTCCCCATACATGCCCTTCGTATTGTCCCACGGGTCCCGTGCAAGCGAGAGCCGCCGCACGCTTGGCGGTAGCCATCGGCGGAGTCTGGTAAACATGCCGATCGAGACACCAATGTGCGCCAGGCGTGTGCAGCGTGGCAGTGCCGCTGCGATCGCGTCGACGTCCCAGTCGTCGTCGTTGGAGGCGTGAATCGACGTGATCGGCCATGCTGTGAGGAAGGCGATGAGCTCGCGACGGCCCGAGATCGGGAGGTCGCGGAAGCGCCGGATAGCAATCGATGGCAGCGCCGGCAGCGCCAATAGGGCCAATGGACGGTACGACAGCGCGACGTCCTCGAGGCAGATGACCGGCCATTGCTCCAGAAAGGCCGCAGGCGACTGCAGCAGCGTGAGGAGCGCCTCCAGCGGTGCACTTCGCATGTGTGCTGGCAGCGCCACAAGCAAGGCGCGGGCGTCGTACGGTGATGCCACGTAGGGTACGATTGCAGTCGCCGCCAGGACCACGACGTCGGCTGCTGGCATCACGGTTGTCACTTCGTGATCGTAAGCGGATATATCCGGATAATTCAGAGCCTGCCTGTGGATTGTTGGCTTTTCGAGCATATATGACGCAGAGATTGACTTGTATGCGGCCTCTTAACGTTGTTTGGATAGCGTGGATACTACACATTGGATTATACAAATTCCAGGATCAACATCGCGACGCGAATGAGCGAAGACGTGTACCAACACGTCAAGCGTCAAGCAGAGGCGCACCACGGCGTGTCCATGATGTATCGACCGTGCAAGGATTACAGTCTACATAGCCCAAGTCGCTAAGCCAACTGGTGGATTGCCATCACTTCCATATTGTCTTAGCACAGTGCACATCTATGTTAGCACGGGACGACGTACTATCGGCCACCGAATACGCGCCGGTGGGCTGGATGATTCGTCCCGCCACTGGTGGGTTTGGTCCTATAGCAACGCTTTTATTGGACAGAATATCGACCAATGAAACGCATGTATTTGTGATCTTGGCAACCGCTCAAGATTTTGTAGTTTGGAAAAAGCGTTTCGTCATGGCTGCCAAGCCGACTGTAGCTCGTCCTCGGTACCTCCTGGTAGTCGACGCCGTCGCAATCTCGATCGTCCAGTGCTTGGCCACCGCCGACGATGCGCTGGCCTTTCTCACTTCCATGCCGGCGTCAACGTTGAGCGCGCCACTTGCTGCTCTCTTGGTGCTTCTTCGCGCTCCCAACGTCCTTACCACGTGGCCTGTAATCTGCCTCGAACATATCGACTCGGTATACCAGTCCCTCGCGCTCGCAGCGCTTCCGGCACTCCCCGGCATTCGCATTTGCTGGTACCGCGGGCTTCAAGACGTACTCGGTAACCGCTACAGCAGCCTCGGTGCATTCCTCACTACGTGGCCAAACAAGCTCCAATCCATCGAGAATGCCATTTTCAGCGCGTACTTTGACGAGATCAAGCACGCACTGCCACTGTGTCGGCGGCTCACCGACGTTGACGTCCGGGTCAAGCACTGCATGACGCTCCTCCCGT